AGCTTACTATTTCTATTTAATTCATACACTGATGACATTAATGCTTCTCCTCACAGTGTCTTGGGTACATCTGAGTCGATTATCTTGATTCAGATCATATTTAAAAGTGTTAGGTTCATACTTTTTGCTTTACCAAATGGTCCTCCAAGCTTCGATTTATTCCTGAGCGTTTTCTTCACAAAAATAATTCAGTACATGAACTTGTTCTAATAACGAATATGTCGTTAAGAGCTTGTAATTGATTTCAGCAGTAACACAATCTTTAACGATATCCAAATGCTTATCAAACACACCCTAAACGATTATGGACTTCGCGTCTCTTGAATTTCTGTTGCTCTTCAAATGCTGGCGGATCATTTTCGATTACATCATTACACTGTTTTTTAATTAACAAAGTTAAGATACGAAATCTCCAATTGTTGAAATTACTTGCTACTAAAATTGGCACACAAAGACTATTTACAGCTGTCATTTTATTGTTCCACCTTTTTCACTTTATGCGATTACGCAATGAAAAATTACCCACAGTTTATCCAAGGAACAGTCCTGGGCACCATAACCTGTTACAGTGGTAGTTTGATGTGGGACAATAAATCGTGGAATATTCAATATTACAATAATTCATACAGCCAAAGAACAGACACTTTTCTACGAACTTAATTGACATAAAACATTCACAAAACATTAAAATAACATTCAAGATTTATATACTTAACACCTTGAACCATCTTTTGTCCCTTATTGAAATCACATGTCTATCCCATTTTCATGTTATAAGCTACAAGACCCTGGTTCAACCTTATTCTTTCATTTTCCAAAATAAAGATACACCCAACAGTACATTCGCCCTTCTAACCTTTCCGAATGATCTATGGAAAATGAGTCTTTAGTCACCACCTCTAGACTTTCTTTGTGGTTGTTGCAGTATTCTCTATTTGGCTTTTTTAGCAGACCAATGTCATTTGTTGAATAGTTTTTTGACAGGACTCTTTGTAAATGTAGTCCTGGGGCTGATTCAATTATCCCTTCGCAGAACTACTGTCTTTAGATTCTCTTTTTGCATTATCTTAAGGCTATATCGTACTTTGTTAGGGCTGTCCTGTAGTTTTCCCAGTCTCCAGTAGTAGTTTTAGCTATAAAAAACGACTTTCTGGCAAGTTGCTCAATGCCTGGTTCCACCAAGGCATGTCCCTAAGGACTATGTGAGGCTGTCTCAAGTTCATCCTCTATCTCAATGGTCAGTGGCGTAGCTAAAACAAATGTGGACGTCGGCGACATCTAAATTGCGAGGCCCTTTTTATGTAGGGTGGCCATAATATTTCTTGTGACAAAAAGCTGGATATAACGACAGGGACGGGTAGCCGCTGGTCGGCAGACCCGATTCCCGCCTTCAGGCCCGCCGAAGGCAGGAATTTTTTGAGTGTCGCTTCCCTTTTTTCGGATATATTAACGGTATTATTCTAGAGCCATTGCAGATTGAAGATTCTGAAGGTTTCGAAAGGTCTTGAGGATAAAGACTCTAAAGACCAGCTTTGGAGATTAATGCAAGATTCTAAGGCACTTGATCTAAATCCTTGGAACTTAGAAGAATTTTAATACTTTGAACAATTTAGAGATCTTGAAAAGCCTTGAGGCTCATGACTAAAAACTCTGGGGATTTTGAAGTCTTCGAAGACTCATTTTTTCAAATATTTTGAAATAAGGACTTTACTAAGCTGAGATCAGAAGATACAAAAGATGTCGGCGTCTTGATCAATTATTCTAGGGCCATTGCAAACTGAAGATTCTGAAGATCCTGAAGGTTTTGAAATGTCTTGGGGATAAAGACTCTAAAGACCATAACTTTGGAGACCAATGCCGAATTCTAAGGCACTTGATCTAAAGCCTTGGAACTTGGAAGTGTCGTTATACTTCGATCACCTTAGAGATCATGAAGAGTCTTGAGGCTCATGACTGAAAACTCTGGTGATTTTGAAGTTTCTAAATATTTTGGAAGAAGGACTTCACTGAGCTAAGATTAGAAAGATACAGAAGATATTGGCGTCTTGGTCAATTATTCTAGAGCCATTGCAGACTATGGATTCTGAAGATCCTGCGAAGGTTTCAAAATGTTTCGGGGATAAAGACACTGAATACCACAGCTTTGGAGACCAATGCAAAATTCCAACTCACTTGATCTAAAACCTTTGAACTTGGAAACATCCTTATACTTTGCAAACCTTAGAGATCTTGAAAAGTCTTAACTGAAGACTATTGGAATTTTGAAGTCTCTGAAGACTATTTTTTTTTCAAATATTTTGAAATAAGAACTTTACTGAGCTAAGAGCTAAGAAGACTTTAAAGACCATAGCTTTGGAGACCAATGCAAGATTCTAGCATACTTGATTTAAAGCCTTGAAACTAGGAAGAATCCTTATACTTTTAACACCTTAGAGATTTTGAGGCTCATGACTGAAAACTCTGGGGATTTTGAGTCTCTGAAGACTCATTTTTCAAAATATTTTGAAATAAGGACTTTACTGAGCTAAAATGAGGAGATGCAAAAGATGTTGGCGTCTTGATCAATTATTCTAGGGCCATTACAGACTGAAGATTCTGAAAATCCTGAAAGTTTCGAAATTTCTTAAGGATAAAGACTCTCAAGACCATAGCTTTGGAGACCAATGCAAGATTCTAAGGCACTTGATCTAAAGCCTTGGAATTTGCAAGTATGCTAATACCTACTACAGAATACTACGTACGAAAAAACAATATTTGATCAAAAATAATAATATTTTTCAATTTTTCGCTAACAAATCCTTCCGACATTCTATCGAAAAAATAAAAACCACATGATTTGAGAGTTCTAGGTTATTTTGCAGTAGAATTAATAATGTTTAGTGAATTCTATGATATTTAGTTAAGTTCCGTATAGGATTAAGTTTATTTGTTATCAACGTTTTATTTTGGAAAATCGAAAAGTACCAATTTTTAGGTTCGGTAACCTAATTTTTGCGAGGCTCTTTAGGGCGCGAGGCCGTCGCCACTGTCAATGGTGTTTGGGAGTTAATGCTGAAAATTTCTTCATAGAACTGCCAATTTTAAAGGGATAAACTCGGTATTCTGGTTTAAGATACCCATTACCTTCTTCTATGAACTGAAAAAGATTCAAATTTTTATCTTTAACGAATATTGAGATAAAAATTCAAATGTCACATCATTTTTTCTCGGAGAAAAGATGTTACCAAGATGTCTCTAATTATCTTAGATTTACATATTTCTTTTCTGCCCATGATATTCTACAACTGGGGAAAACATATTGCCAAGTTGTCTTAGATTTACTCATCTTCTTTCTTCTCTTGATGTTCTTCATCTTCACCTTTTGAAATCCCTTCAACAAAGTCATGGAAAAAATAGTATTTCCTGACACTCGCACTCCGATGTAGTTTCGTAATATGGTTTTTAGAAGCGATAATTTACTTGATTAAATATTTATTTTCGTTAATATTGACCAATACACGATAATTCTTTTATCTATAAAGGCTAAAGTTTACAAAAATAATTTGAATTATTTAAAATAAGTCTAACATAAGTATATAGGGTGTCCCAGGGAAAACAGTAGTGGAAATCATTGTACATTTTTTTGGGAATCGCATAGTAATCAATCAGGAATGGATGGAAATCACTTGGATGTCTCTGGGAATAGTCTGGGAATCGTTAAGAATCTCCTAGAACTTCATGGAAATCACATAGGAATCCATTGGCAATCGCTGAGAATCATGTCATAATCGCTAGGAATAATATCATTTCATTCTAACCCAAAAATCGCGTATCATACATTTTCTCTTCGAACATTAAATAATACATTTATTCTTGCTCGATATTGAACTGTTTAATGATACGAATTCTACACGCCCCGTGGATAATAATCGGAATCCACGGCCTATCGACCAATCAAATTCGCAGTATTTTCGGAATACACGGGCCGCAACGAGACAATATAAACAAAACATGACTGACGTCTACTGTCAGATCACGAAACTTTCAATTTAAAAAAATTATTATATGCTCGTTGAAGAATATACTATTAAACGATACAGCGTACCGGTCAGTTGTCTATTTGTCTTTAAGACTAAGTTTTGGGAAACAATGAGTGCTAGATAATTTGAAATGAATTTGATATTCCGAGTTTCCCAATAACTGAGCCAATAACTGAACCTGAGACTTTGAAGAAGAAGAAGAACGTGATGAAGATTAAGTCTGTTCTCATAGAAATCACAAGCCAGTCAGAGTATTTTTTCTCACAGAAATCACAAAATTTGAATGGAACAGACCTAAAGTATGACCTGTGACTCCTGTGAGTATGACAATGTTATAGTAAATCATAAAAATGGAAACATGAATCCCGAAACCTCTCTCGGATCCAACTTGCGAAATCACAAAACTTCTTGACACATCAGGGTTTAGTAACTGCGATTCTCTCAACTTTAAATTGGTTCTTTTCATAGAAGCAGTGATGCTTGTCAATCGTGTATAAGAAACTATGGAAATATTCCTGAGGAAGACACAGAAGAAAAAGTCGGGAATCCAAGGCAATAAGAACTTGAAAAAAGAAAGTAGAATAAATACTAGGCTGTGCGAGAAGCAGAGACGGATAGCACATCTAAATCAGAGACAGAAATAAGTTTCTTTGGTAAAACCCTAAAGGGCTCAACAACTATTTATAAGTTGCAAATACAGAAGTTGCCAATTTTTCAGTGGAAACATTATTTTATAAGAGAAAAGACTGTTTATTTTGGTTATATTAATGCAAAGCCTAACAATTAGACATCATTTTTGTAATAAAATCAGCTGAAAATCGGATGATTGTAGGAAATCATCACTAAATCAGGTGGTAACAATACAAAAATATCTGAAATACCTTGGAAATCAGTCGCAATTCTTGGGATGGGATAATACATGAGATTCATTGATCAGTAATTGCCAAATATGGAAATCATTGTACATTTGTAAGCATAGTGGTTGACCCCTCGTTCCACCCCGATTTTTTTTGATTTGAAATGAAAATCTGGAAAAACGCTCCGATTTTTGATTTGAGGGGGAAATATTTTTCAGTTTTTTTTATCCCCGTAGCTTCAAACCCCTAGTTAGGGGCTTCAACTCCCCAAATTTGAATAGGGGATAGAGGTCGTGTCATAGGTACCTCTTCTTAAAGGTCTCATCGAGTTCATTATGATCCTAGAATTTCGTCTCATTATTTTGATCTGTAACGAAATGACAGCTTGTCAAAATCTTGGAATAAACAAGTCATTGGAATAAACTAATGTTTTAGTAGTAAAAGCAGCATTTGAATCATAGTTCCCCCTCAAATCATAAATTGACGTGTTTGAACGTTTTTCCAGATTTTCATTCCAAATCCAATAAATCTAGGTAGACTGTTTTCCCTGGGACACCCTGTATAACTTGTATGATAAGATTATATTAAAACTATCTTCCAACTTTTTCAATTCAAATTTTCTACCTCAGTACCTACATTTCCTTCCAATTAATAAGCAACTTTTTCTAATTAATTTATCTTTATGTATTAACATATTAAAACATAATTACATCACATTTATTTGTTGAAAATTCTTTATTTACAATACCCATAAACTTTTATCTTTTAGTTCAAGCTGATTACCCCAAATCTCTTTAATATTTTTTTGTCTTCGTCTTTTACACAAGTATTAAAAAAGGATAAAGATAATTTGGTGCAGTAAATTTTGACATTAGTTACATAACCCTACTTTTTCTTCTTTGGTCTTTGCCTTCTTGGTTTTAAAAGTAAACGCAATAAAAGCCTGTTTTTTAGTGTAAATACAAGAGTGACTCTTTGAAATTACCAGGAAAGATGGAAAACGAGGTCCTAAAGTAAGTACCCACATGTAATTTATTATTATTTTAATACTAATTATGATGTTATAAAGCAAAAACTTCTCTTGCATGTGTGTACTTAACTAAACTACATTGACAAATCTATTTTAGAGAAAATACGCTTTTGGGTATGGGAAACCCGCTGCTAGACATTTCCGCAACAGTCGAAAAAGACTTCCTAGCAAAGTACGACCTGAAGGCAAACGATGCTATTCTAGCAGACCCTGAAAAACACAAAACCCTATACTCTGAATTGATGGACAATTTCAATGCGGAATACATTGCAGGAGGTAGCGTTCAAAACGCCTTAAGAGTGTGCCAATGGTTGGTGGAAAAACCAAAAGCAACCACTTTCTTTGGTTGTGTTGGAGTTGATCAATATTCAAAAATACTACACGATAAAGCTGTAACAGATAGAGTCAATGCTAAATATCAGTATACTGATAAGGAGCCTAGTGGTACTTGTGCTGTGCTGGTCACAGATCATCACAGGTCCCTTTGTGCGAATTTAGGAGCAGCTAATTGTTTCACAATTGATCACATAAGAAAGCCTGAAAACAAGAAACTGGTAGACAATGCTAAGTTTTATTATATTTCTGGCTTCTTTTTAACAGTTAGTCCTCCTTCAATAATGGAAGTAGCTAAGGTTGCTTTGGCAAACGATAGGCCTTTAATAATGAACCTTAGTGCACCCTTCATTTGCCAATTTTATAAGGAACCTTTAATGCAAGTTTTACCTTATGTTGATGTTGTTTTTGGAAATGAAACGGTAAAAAATTTTAAATTTTCAATACAAAATACTCACTAGTAATTTTAGGAAGCAGAAACTTTTGCTCAAGAGCAAGATTTTGGTACCAAGGACATCAAAGAAATTGCATTGAAAATTTGCAAACTACCCAAACAAAACGAGAAGCGTTCTAGAGTTGTGGTGCTAACTCAAGGGGTGGATCCAGTAATTTTAGCTTGTGAAGGCAATATTAAAGAGTTCACTGTCCAAGCTTTGCCTGCTGAACAATTAGTTGACACTAATGGAGCAGGAGATGCTTTTGCAGGCAAGAATTTTCAAATTTATTAATGATTTACAACAATACAATTGCTTTTTTTTTTAGGAGGATTTTTGTCTCAGTACATTGAAGGCAAAGACTTGGATGTTTGTGTAAAGTGCGGCTTGTGGGCTGCAAGGCAAATAGTACAAAGGAATGGTTGTACTTTTGAAGGTAAAGCCACTTTTGATCCTTCAAAGGAATGATGATAGGTTTTTTTTCTTGTACTTACAAGCTCATTCCTATTTTAAGTCCAATAACAAGTTTGTTTCAATAATTTAGCATTTAGAGGGATTAAATAAATTCTATTACTATACATGTACTTATGTATGTAAATAATATAATATGCAATAATTTTTTACCTTGTTGTCTTAATAATAAAACTGTTGACTTATCTTACTTGGAGAGTTTTCTTTTAATGCACACGCTCAAAGAGTAAATCAAAATGGCACTGAGAATAGAAGTGGAATAAAGTAGAAATTTAACGCCTTTTAATTTTTAGTTTAATGATTAACTAAAACACTGAAATAAAGAATGCATTATAGGACATTAGAAGTTTTATCCCAAAATCTGGGCCGGTATTCTCGAAAACGCTCACCACTTTTTACTCGTTCGGCACTTTCCATTTGAATTTACATAAAAAGTGCCGAGCGACTTAAAAGCGGCGAGCGTTTTTGAGAACGAGAATACCGGCCCTGATATTTATTGTTCATATTATTCATCCTATGAGGTATTATGCAATTATACATTTATATCGTTTTGAGAATTGCTGAGGCATTCAACAATGTGAATAATCTTAGAACATTACCTGATACAATCAACCTGGAAAATTGTAATTCCTCACCTCGAATAAGGCAAAAAATATCATATAGACATGCAGTGGAGCAGCCAGACATTTTTTCTAAGGGAAAAAAATATAGAAATATAACCACTATCGTTTTTATATGAGTAGGCCCCCTGACTACGTCCCTACAATGGTCTAATTTTTGATTTTTTTTATGGAAATCTAAGAAACCTGGAGGAACCAAATATTTTTTTATTCATTAAAGAAGCTTTCAGCTGCAGTATATTAAAATTTTATGAAAAATTGGCCCAGGATAACGGAGCTATATGATTTTTACAATTCGATAAAACACACCGAGTGATATTTCTGCCTTAGAGTCAAATGGTCTAATTTTTAATTTTTTTTTCTGGAAATCTGGGAAACTTGGAGGAACCAGATATTTTTTTATTTATTAAAGAAGCTTTTAGCCTAAACATACTAAAATTTTATGGAAAAATAGTCCAGAATAATGCAGCTATGATTTTTACAATTTGATAAAACACACTGAGTGATATTTCTGCCTTAAGAGTCAATGGTCTAATTTTTGATTTTGTTTCTGGAAATCTAGGAAACCTGGAGGAACCAAATATTTTTTTATTCATTGAAAAAGCTTCCAGCTTCAACATACTAAAATTTCATGGAAAAATAGCCCAGGATAACGGAGCCATGATTTTTACAATCCGATAAACACACTGTCTTAGATTCAATGATCTATTTTTTTTTTCTGGAAATCTGGGAAACCTGGAGGAACCAGATATATTTTGATTTATTAAGGAATCCTTCAGCTTCAACATACTTAAATTTTATGGAAAAATAGCCCAGGATAACGGAGCTATGATTTTTACAATCCAATAAAAACACACCGAGTGATTTCTGCCTTAGAGTCAATGGTCTAATTTTTAATTTTGTTTCTGGAAATCTGGGAAACCTAGAGGAACCAAATATTTTTTTATTTAATAAAGAAGCTTTCAGCTTCAACATACTAAAATTTTATGGAAAAATAGCCCAGGATAACGGAACTATGATTTTTACAATCCAATAAAACACACTAATAAGTGATATTTCTGCCTTAGAGTCAATATGGTCTAATTTTTGATTTTTTTTCTGGAAATCTGGGAAACCTGGAGGAACCAAATATTTTTTTATTTAATAAAGAAGCTTTCAGCTTCAACATACTAAAATTTTATGGAAAAATAGCCCAGAATAAGAGAGCTATGATTTTTACAATCCAATAAAACACACTAATAGGTGATATTTCTGCCTTAGAGTCAATATATGGTCTAATTTTTGATTTTGTTTCTGGAAATCTGGGAAACCTGGAGGAACCAAATATTTTTTTATTCATTGAAGAAGCTTCCAGCTTCAACATACTAAAATTTCATGGAAAAATAGCCCAGGATAACGGAGCCATGATTTTTACAATCCGATAAACACACTGTCTTAGATTCAATGATCTATTTTTTTTTTCTGGAAATCTGGGAAACCTGGAGGAACCAGATATATTTTGATTTATTAAGGAATCCTTCAGCTTCAACATACTTAAATTTTATGGAAAAATAGCCCAGGATAACGGAGCTACGATTTTTACAATCCAATAAAACACACCGAGTGATTTCTGCCTTAGAGTCAATGGTCTAATTTTTAATTTTGTTTCTGGAAATCTGGGAAACCTGGAGGAACCAAATATTTTTTTATTTGATAAAGAAGCTTTCAGCTTCAACATACTAAAATTTTATGGAAAAATAGCCCAGGATAACGGAACTATGATTTTTACAATCCAATAAAACACACTAATAAGTGATATTTCTGCCTTAGAGTCAATATGGTCTAATTTTTAATTTTTTTTCTGGAAATCTGGGAAACCTGGAGGAACCAAATATTTTTTTATTTGATAAAGAAGCTTTCAGCTTCAACATACTAAAATCTTATGGAAAAATAGCCCAGGATAACGGAACTATGATTTTTACAATCCAATAAAACACACTAATAAGTGATATTTCTGCCTTAGAGTCAATATGGTCTAATTTTTAATTTTTTTTCTGGAAATCTGGGAAACCTGGAGGAACCAAATATTTTTTTATTTGATAAAGAAGCTTTCAGCTTCAACATACTAAAATTTTATGCAAAAATAGCCCAGGATAACGGAACTATGATTTTTACAATCCATTAAAACACACTAATAAGTGATATTTCTGCCTTAGAGTCAATATGGTCGAATTTTTGATTTTTTTTCTGGAAATCTGGGAAACCTGGAGGAACCAAATATTTTTTTATTTGATAAAGAAGCTTTCAGCTTCAACATACTAAAATTTTATGCAAAAATAGCCCAGGATAACGGAACTATGATTTTTACAATCCAATAAAACACACTAATAAGTGATATTTCTGCCTTAGAGTCAATATGGTCTAATTTTTAATTTTTTTTCTGGAAATCTGGGAAACCTGGAGGAACCAAATATTTTTTTATTTGATAAAGAAGCTTTCAGCTTCAACATACTAAAATCTTATGGAAAAATAGCCCAGGATAACGGAACTATGATTTTTACAATCCAATAAAACACACTAATAAGTGATATTTCTGCCTTAGAGTCAATATGGTCTAATTTTTGATTTTTTTTCTGGAAATCTGGGAAACCTGGAGGAACCAAATATTTTTTTATTTAATAAAGAAGCTTTCAGCTTCAACATACTAAAATTTTATGGAAAAATAGCCCAGGATAACGGAACTATGATTTTTACAATCCAATAAAACACACTAATAAGTGATATTTCTGCCTTAGAGTCAATATGGTCTAATTTTTAATTTTGTTTCTGGAAATCTGGGAAACCTGGAGGAACCAAATATTTTTTTATTTGATAAAGAAGCTTTCAGCTTCAACATACTAAAATTTTATGCAAAAATAGCCCAGGATAACGGAACTATGATTTTTACAATCCATTAAAACACACTAATAAGTGATATTTCTGCCTTAGAGTCAATATGGTCGAATTTTTGATTTTTTTTCTGGAAATCTGGGAAACCTGGAGGAACCAAATATTTTTTTATTTGATAAAGAAGCTTTCAGCTTCAACATACTAAAATTTTATGGAAAAATAGCCCAGGATAACGGAACTATGATTTTTACAATCCAATAAAACACACTAATAAGTGATATTTCTGCCTTAGAGTCAATATGGTCGAATTTTTGATTTTTTTTCTAGAAATCTGGGAAACCTGGAGGAACCAAATATTTTTTTATTTGATAAAGAAGCTTTCAGCTTCAACATACTAAAATTTTATGGAAAAATAGCCCAGGATAACGGAACTATGATTTTTACAATCCAATAAAACACACTAATAAGTGATATTTCTGCCTTAGAGTCAATATGGTCGAATTTTTGATTTTTTTTCTGGAAATCTGGGAAACCTGGAGGAACCAAATATTTTTTTATTTATTAAAGAAGCTTTCAGCTTCAACATACTAAAATTTTATGGAAAAATAGCCCAGGATAACGGAACTATGATTTTTACAATCCAATAAAACACACTAATAAGTGATATTTCTGCCTTAGAGTCAATATGGTCTAATTTTTGATTTTTTTTCTGGAAATCTGGGAAACCTGGAGGAACCAAATATTTTTTTATTTATTAAAGAAGCTTTCAGCTTCAACATACTAAAATTTTATGGAAAAATAGCCCAGAATAAGAGAGCTATGATTTTTACAATCCAATAAAACACACTAATAGGTGATATTTCTGCCTTAGAGTCAATATGGTCTAATTTTTGATTTTGTTTCTGGAAATCTGGGAAACCTGGAGGAACCAAATATTTTTTTATTCATTGAAGAAGCTTTCAGCTGCAGTATATTAAAATTTTATGAAAAATTGGCCCAGGATAACGGAGCTATATGATTTTTACAATTCGATAAAACACACCGAGTAATTTCTCTGCCTTAGAGTCACAATGGTCTAATTTTTAATTTTGTTTCTGGAAATCTGGGAAACCTGGAGGAACCAGATATTTTTTTATTTATTAAAGAAGCTTTTAGCCTAAACATACTAAAATTTTATGGAAAAATAGTCCAGAATAATGCAGCTATGATTTTTACAATTTGATAAAACACACTGAGTGATATTTCTGCCTTAAGAGTCAATGGTCTAATTTTTGATTTTGTTTCTGGAAATCTGGGAAACCTAGAGGAACCAAATATTTTTTTATTTAATAAAGAAGCTTTCAGCTTCAACATACTAAAATTTTATGGAAAAATAGCCCAGGATAACGGAACTATGATTTTTACAATCCAATAAAACACACTAATAAGTGATATTTCTGCCTTAGAGTCAATATGGTCTAATTTTTGATTTTTTTTCTGGAAATCTGGGAAACCTGGAGGAACCAAATATTTTTTTATTTGATAAAGAAGCTTTCAGCTTCAACATACTAAAATTTTATGGAAAAATAGCCCAGGATAACGGAACTATGATTTTTACAATCCATTAAAACACACTAATAAGTGATATTTCTGCCTTAGAGTCAATATGGTCGGATTTTTGATTTTTTTTCTAGAAATCTGGGAAACCTGGAGGAACCAAATATTTTTTTATTTGATAAAGAAGCTTTCAGCTTCAACATACTAAAATTTTATGGAAAAATAGCCCAGGATAACGGAACTATGATTTTTACAATCCAATAAAACACACTAATAAGTGATATTTCTGCCTTAGAGTCAATATGGTCTAATTTTTGATTTTTTTTCTGGAAATCTGGGAAACCTGGAGGAACCAAATATTTTTTTATTTGATAAAGAAGCTTTCAGCTTCAACATACTAAAATTTTATGGAAAAATAGCCCAGGATAACGGAACTATGATTTTTACAATCCATTAAAACACACTAATAAGTGATATTTCTGCCTTAGAGTCAATATGGTCTAATTTTTGATTTTTTTTCTGGAAATCTGGGAAACCTGGAGGAACCAAATATTTTTTTATTTATTAAAGAAGCTTTCAGCTTCAACATACTAAAATTTTATGGAAAAATAGCCCAGGATAACGGAACTATGATTTTTACAATCCATTAAAACACACTAATAAGTGATATTTCTGCCTTAGAGTCAATATGGTCGAATTTTTGATTTTTTTTCTGGAAATCTGGGAAACCTGGAGGAACCAAATATTTTTTTATTTATTAAAGAAGCTTTCAGCTTCAACATACTAAAATTTTATGGAAAAATAGCCCAGGATAACGGAACTATGATTTTTACAATCCAATAAAACACACTAATAAGTGATATTTCTGCCTTAGAGTCAATATGGTCGAATTTTTGATTTTTTTTCTGGAAATCTGGGAAACCTGGAGGAACCAAATATTTTTTTATTTATTAAAGAAGCTTTCAGCTTCAACATACTAAAATTTTATGGAAAAATAGCCCAGGATAACGGAACTATGATTTTTACAATCCAATAAAACACACTAATAAGTGATATTTCTGCCTTAGAGTCAATATGGTCGAATTTTTGATTTTTTTTCTGGAAATCTGGGAAACCTGGAGGAACCAAATATTTTTTTATTTATTAAAGAAGCTTTCAGCTTCAACATACTAAAATTTTATGGAAAAATAGCCCAGGATAACGGAACTATGATTTTTACAATCCATTAAAACACACTAATAAGTGATATTTCTGCCTTAGAGTCAATATGGTCGAATTTTTGATTTTTTTTCTGGAAATCTGGGAAACCTGGAGGAACCAAATATTTTTTTATTTATTAAAGAAGCTTTCAGCTTCAACATACTAAAATTTTATGGAAAAATAGCCCAGGATAACGGAACTATGATTTTTACAATCCAATAAAACACACTAATAAGTGATATTTCTGCCTTAGAGTCAATATGGTCGAATTTTTGATTTTTTTTCTGGAAATCTGGGAAACCTGGAGGAACCAAATATTTTTTTATTTATTAAAGAAGCTTTCAGCTTCAACATACTAAAATTTTATGGAAAAATAGCCCAGGATAACGGAACTATGATTTTTACAATCCAATAAAACACACTAATAAGTGATATTTCTGCCTTAGAGTCAATATGGTCGAATTTTTGATTTTTTTTCTGGAAATCTGGGAAACCTGGAGGAACCAAATATTTTTTTATTTATTAAAGAAGCTTTCAGCTTCAACATACTAAAATTTTATGGAAAAATAGCCCAGGATAACGGAACTATGATTTTTACAATCCAATAAAACACACTAATAGGTGATATTTCTGCCTTAGAGTCAATATGGTCTAATTTTTGATTTTTTTTCTGGAAATCTGGGAAACCTGGAGGAACCAAATATTTTTTTATTTGATAAAGAAGCTTTCAGCTTCAACATACTAAAATTTTATGGAAAAATAGCCCAGAATAAGAGAGCTATGATTTTTACAATCCAATAAAACACACTAATAGGTGATATTTCTGCCTTAGAGTCAATATGGTCTAATTTTTGATTTTTTTTCTGGAAATCTGGGAAACCTGGAGGAACCAAATATTTTTTTATTTATTAAAGAAGCTTTCAGCTTCAACATACTAAAATTTTATGGAAAAATAGCCCAGGATAACGGAACTATGATTTTTACAATCCAATAAAACACACTAATAAGTGATATTTCTGCCTTAGAGTCAATATGGTCTAATTTTTGATTTTTTTTCTGGAAATCTGGGAAACCTGGAGGAACCAAATATTTTTTTATTTATTAAAGAAGCTTTCAGCTTCAACATACTAAAATTTTATGGAAAAATAGCCCAGGATAACGGAACTATGATTTTTACAATCCATTAAAACACACTAATAAGTGATATTTCTGCCTTAGAGTCAATATGGTCGAATAATTTTTGATTTTTTTTCTGGAAATCTGGGAAACCTGGAGGAACCAAATATTTTTTTATTTATTAAAGAAGCTTTTAGCCTAAACATACTAAAATTTTATGGAAAAATAGTCCAGAATAATGCAGCTATGATTTTTACAATTTGATAAAACACACTGAGTGATATTTCTGCCTTAAGAGTCAATGGTCTAATTTTTGATTTTGTTTCTGGAAATCTGGGAAACCTGGAGGAACCAAATATTTTTTTATTCATTGAAGAAGCTTCCAGCTTCAACATACTAAAATTTCATGGAAAAATAGCCCAGGATAACGGAGCCATGATTTTTACAATCCGATAAACACACTGTCTTAGATTCAATGATCTATTTTTTTTTTCTGGAAATCTGGGAAACCTGGAGGAACCAGATATATTTTGATTTATTAAGGAATCCTTCAGCTTCAACATACTTAAATTTTATGGAAAAATAGCCCAGGATAACAGAGCTATGAATTTACAATCCGATAAAATACACTACTGACTGATATTTTTGTCTTAGAGTCAAAAGACATGGAAGGAAGGGTATTAATAATCAACACAGTGAAACGCAATTAATTTTTGAAAACTAATTTTATAACTCTATAAAAAACTGGATATAGAATATTTTCCAAGATTATCCTTATTTGAAACTAATCACAGTGCTATACAAAAACAAAACTTAAGTAGAGTGTAAACTAAGTAACTATTATTAAACTCGAAACAAACAAAAAAATAATTATAATACAACAAATGTAATAAGTCCAAGACCATGCGATTTACATTTGCGAAAAAACATAATAATGTCACAAACACCTACTACTAAATACGCCTGTGAATACTGTCTTTACAAGAACAAACAAATATAACTTATCAGCATACACAGCCTAGGTTTAAAATCTTAACAACTAAAAAGGCATTTCTTTGAATTTATAATACAATAACACGTTAGTGTGATGCCAATATAACAATTGGTTGTGATGTAAACTAAATCATTTACCGTCTCATAATCCCATTAATATAATTATAAGTATACATAGGATTTTGTTGAGCCCGTTGCAAAGCGGCAGGATCCTGGTACTGCGTCTGCGCAGCCATATTCATCATTTGCATTGTCGGAATTTGATTGTTTATAAAACCGGCGGGGGTGTTGGTAATGTAACCTGCCACCGCACTAGGAGCTTGCTGGGGCGCTATCCTATATCCGTTCAAAGAATTATTCATCACATAAGGATTTATCGACACGTTAGGACTCACACGACTCGAACTAGTTTGCATGTGTTGCATCGTGACATTTGAAGAATTTCTACCTGATCTGGCCAAGTTTTGGCCTATAGGTGGCGTTACGGTACCACCCAACTGATTAACATTCATATTAGTCTGATAATATTTGTGGTAGCCTAAAACTTGCTGTTGTAAGTTGGAAGGTATCGCAGAGGGCGGCGTTAAATTTCTTTGATTCTGAATCATCGTCTGATGAGTGGGAGGCGGGGTCATAGCGTGCGGGTGATGAGTTGGCGGAGTCATAGAAGTTGGAGGGGGAGTCATAGTGTTGCAAGTGGCAGGTGGGATTGTGCTACTGGAAACCATTTGCTGGAGCTTGGCTAAGCTGCAACTGGAATTAGCTGAAGCTGTTTGGCCTGGAGGATTGGCTTGCAGCGAATTAGGGGATGGAGTAGGCACAGTAGTGTGCGAATGTGTGTGATGCGGATTGCTTTGGATGTAAAAACTAGTTCCGGTGGTTACAGCGCAGCTAGGTGAGGGTGCTAAGTTTTGATGAGGACTTATGCCACCTTGCTGAGTCATTCTGTGTTGAATAACTGTAGTCATAGGCACGTTTACGTAAGTGCTGGGGTTTTGTGCGACTGCAAATCCTTGGGTTGTAGCACTGGGGATATAGTTTGCTTGGCTGATAACGGAATGGTGTCCGTGATGGTGCTGATGCATAGCACTAGTTGCCAAATGTTGCGGGTAGCCTTGATGTACAGCTGCGACTTGCTGATGCAAATGTTGCTGCAGCTGTTGCTGATGTTGCTGCTGCATTACTTGATGCTGAGCGGCGTTGCTTGCCGAAGGACTCATTTGCATGTTATTGTGCTGATGTTGAGGAGGCGTAGCCCTTTGTCTAGGAGTATTTTGTTGCTGCTGCTGCTGCGCAGCGGGAGGCGTAGCTCTCATGTGTTGCTTACTCGACGGTGTATTCGAATTAGAGCGACTTCGTTGCTGTTGCATTTGCCTTTTTGTGGTGGTTTGTTGCTGGATTTGCATGTTCAAACCGGGACTGGCCGCGGGAATTTGCGCGGACTGTAAATTTTGTTGCTGCATGCAGTCGTAGTTGGTTTGAGGTTGCTGGTTGACTACAGAAGAAGGTCTGACGACGTCTATTGAGTTTTGTGAGGTCATGTCGCTGGAAATTGAAGCGGGAGATTCTAGGCCCATGTGAGACACGTCTAGTTCGCACGGGGCGTATGGTAGACTGTGGACAGAGTTTGTGGCCGAGTCTGGTGTGTAGACGCCCATCGAAGGCATTTCTTGAGGCTGCTTCAATTGATTTTCGATTTCGGGTTTTATAGATTCCTCTTTTGGTTTGTTGATTAGAATTTTCTGAGGAAATTTCTGCTCCATATTATTAACAACAGAACAACTCGCTTTATATTGTTCAGCAGCTGTCCTGCTACTATCCTGTTCAGGTTTATGCTTAATCTTTTCCTCTTTCCTTGGAGATTGCGTTTTATCTTTACTAACCTTAGTTGATTGTTGATTATATTTTGAAGAATCATATCTATGGCTTTTGGAGCTTTTTTCTTTTTCACAACTCGCTGGCTGTTTAGTGACTGTAGGTGCTGTTGCAGTGGTCGTTGCTGGAAGCATATCCAAAGGAAATTGTAAAGGAGGCATCGCGTAACCGGCGTAATCTCTTTTGGTGGGATCATAGTACTTGTTACTCCAAAATCTGTCCCATTGCCAAGGATATTGAGCAGTCATATTCATGTTCATATGATAACCTTGCGAGGCCATACTAGCAGCTAGAAGGGCCTCATTTTCCATGTGAACTTTTTGAGCATCGTATGATAATTTTTCTTCATATGGAGTGGGAAGTTTTTGCTGATACCTTTCTTGTTTGGGTCTTTCTTGTTTCGGAATCTTGTGCTCCTCTTTGGGCTTTGGCGTTTCAGTGTGATGAATTTGAGGGGATATTTTAGTGTCTTTGTGGTGGGGTGGTTTTTCTATGACCGACTTTGTTTCTTGGATTGGTTCTTTAATAATTGGCACCAATTTTTCAGGGCTTTGTTTGGCCTGAGGTGGCAGAGCCTTTGGTAAAGGTTTGCTTTCAATTTTAACCCCTTCTTGGTGAACTTTAGTCATCGGAGGCTCTAATCTGATGGGTTTTTGAGGAGGCTCTGTATTATTTACAGGCGTTTTTTCTTGCTGTGGCTGAATTGGGGCTTGATTGTATTGAATTGGTGGCTTTATTTGGTTTATCATTGCAGGGTTTGTCATAATAGTTTGATGTTGGGGCATTGAAGGCTTTATGTATTCATTTGTGTTTGGAGTATCTAGTTTTACTGGTTCTACTAAAGCAGGTTTTGATGGTACATTGGGAGTCTCTAGCTGCACTATTGGTTCTTGAGCTTTAATAACACTAGGGACATTGGAGACAAATTTTTCAATATTTTCAATCTTGGGCGGAGGTTGAGGAAGCTGACAATTTTGCACATCATTCTTTATTGGTTCAGGTACAATTTGTTCGGGTTTCTCAACAATTTCTTGCACTTGAACCGGCATTTCCTGGCTGATTTTAGGCACCTCAACCTTTTGTAGTGGAACTTCTTGTTTTATAAGCTCTGGTTTTTGAGTCTCCACAACTTCTGGTAATAGTTTTTGTGGTTCCACAAGCTCTAAAGACAGTTTTTGAGGTTCCACAAGCTCTAAAGACAGTTTTTGAGGTTCCACAAGTTCTGGAGGCTCAGGATTTTGTGATTCAACAGGCAATTTTGCAATTTCAACAGCTTGAAAAGGTTCCACAACTTCTTTTTTCGGACTCTCAACTTTTTGCTGCTCAATAATTTGCTGGTGTTTCGTCTCGTCGACTTTTTCAATTTCCATATCCACAGACATTCTAGAGTTTGAATTTTCTGATTTTAAAACCGCTATCACTTTACTTTCTATGTTTTTATCTTGGGAAGTGTCATCGTTGGCAATAGGCACCGGATCATCTTCTTTGTTGGGTTCACTAAACTCGAAACTGCTATGTTTGGACAATTCCAACATTTTCTTGCTGGAAATTGTCTTGATTTTCTGGCCGTCTATTTCGGTTTCAGATTCTGAGGTAGTTGACGAGTAAACTGAAGGTTTCTTTTCTGTATTCGAGGGTGATGATTTATCTTTAGGTGATACTTTATCTTTGGGAGATCTGAGAAGGCCTTCTTTAGAATATTTATATTTCATTGGCGAGGATTCTTTGTGCACTGGTAGCTCATCATTTTCCATTTCGTCATCGGCTTCGGCACTGGAATCCTCTTCGGTTGACCTTCTGGAAGTTCTTTTTGGCTTTTTCTTTTCGGGCTTTTCTTTAACGGGTGTCAAAGGTAAGATTTTTGTTTTATCATCGATGTCAGATTTTTCAGAAATGACCGAATCACTTTCACTATCTTTTTGCATTTGCTTGGCTTTGAATAGTTGAGGCAAAGTTTGTTGATTTTTAGGCAATTCTCTATTCTTATTCCATCCTCTGCGCTTTTTAATAGGACGTTTCTTTTTCAATTGAGGCGTTATTTCAACTAATTTTGGTTTATCATTTATTGGTTCTTCTTCATTAGATTTTGTTTCAACATCAACATCTGAATTGATTTTTTCTTCAACTTTTTGCTGTTCTTCGATTACTTTTTGTTTTTTAGCTCTACGTTGAGACCATCTTTCACCTGTAGCCACTTTTGTATCTTTTTGCGCAATGCTCCTTCTAGGTCTTATTGGTGTCAATAAATCAACCTCTTCTTTTTTATTTGGCTTTACAATAATTGCTTCTTCTTTTTCTGATTTGGTTATTTTTGCTGGGACTAATTCCTTTTCATTGTTATCAATTTTGCGTTTACGTCTAACATCTGCGAAAGTGGTTTCATTGAATTTCGATGGTCGAGTCCTTTTCCTTCCTGATGAAGTAATTTCAAATTCTTCAGGAGTTTCACTTGTAGTGTTTTCTATAGAAACACTTACCGGTTTTGGAGTTTCGACTTTAATGTTTTTTGGTATTTTTGGCGATATAAATCTCCGTTTCTTGCCTCTTTTAAGCTTAACACCCTGAGTATTTTCTATAATAATTTTTTCTGGAGCTGTTATAATATTTGCGGTGGTTTGCGGTGACTTTTCGTCAACTTCCCCATCAGATTTGTCTTCCCTGAGTTGATTTGTAGCTGTAGAAAGCAACGGTTTCCATCTGAGACACTCTAAATCGATATAAATTCTTGTTTTGGATTTGGCAACTCTTTGCGCATGTTTATCAACTTTTTTCCAATCAATGCAAACAACAACTTTTTTGTCCACATATTTGGTGAAACCTAACAATTGCAAAGCTAATGCAATATCTTGACAATACATGCCAGTTTCTTTGCTGATGGCCATCAAATCGATTTTATCTGTTCTGTGAGTGTTTAAGTATTCTAAAACTAAAGATTTCCAATACGAGTAATAGGAAACTCTGCCTAGATCTGAAAGGGGTTTTTCTGGAGTGCCTGGTTGGCCTTCTTCTTTGGATAAAAGATAACCTAGATAATTATATATATATTTTTTTAATTGTAGAATTTATTTAATATAAACTTACTGAAATCAATTAAAAACCTTCCAAATCCTTGCCGTTGGTACTGTGGCATCGTCATAATACAGCTGACATTGTACTTTTGGACGCAGTGTTTTTCTTTGGAGAAATAGCCCACCAAATGGCAGCCTTTTTTGTCGTTTTTCGTCAGGACGTAAAACAAAAACGGCTCGACGTCGTAGTAAAGCGTTTTGTGGTCCAGAAATAGTTTGGCCATCAAGCAGAGGTTCTGACAGTAGATTTTATTGACGTTGCCGTCCACCTCGAACACCGAAATTTCGCCGCAACGATAGATTTCGGTTGCCGGAGGGTGTCTCCATGTGCATTTGTCCTGATGTCTTTCTAATACTGAATTTGGTATAAGTATGATGGATTTAATTACAAATAAAGTTTAACTATACAGGGTGTTTCATTAAAAATAAGGCAGTATTTTTATTTGAAAAAATCGCATGTCTGTAAAACCAAATCACATCAAATTTTAGGTTTCGGGAATACTGTGAAAAGAAACTTTGCTATCAGCAAAATATGTCAGTTTATCTAAGAATACCCTGTATAAAAAGCAATGTAACAATTTCTTAGAGTCTTACAAGGCTTTGATCTCTTTGTAGTTTTAAATCGATAAAATCTAAAGTAATCACTGTGAAATTTTCAAAAAATAAGACTTTAGAATGTTCAAAAAGCCTTTAGTGTTGAAACTTTCGAAATCCTAAGTCATCATAAGTTTTCAGATGCTTGAAATCTTTAAAATTTTCAATACTATTTCTTACCTGCTTTACTCTTGGTATACTTCAAACAAAATTCGCACAAAAACAACTTGGGCAACCTGGCATACTCCTGAGGAAAAGGACTGGAATACCAAGTCTGGATTTCGTACTTTCCAAACTCGATGGCGCCCGGATTCCTGGGTTGTTCCTGCATCAATTTCGACGGCGACTTCAGAGCCATCGTCTGATTGGCCAGCTCTGCTGCTTCCAGCAAAGCGGCCGTTTGGGCGTTGGCTTTTTGGCGGGCCTCTTTGAACAACTCCAAGTCTTTGTGGTTGCATCCTATAGGCAGTTGAAACGGTCTGCGGTCTTCTAGAATGAAAAAATAAATTTGCTTGAATGATGGATAGTTTTTAATGTACTTATTGATAGGGAAAAACTAGCCACCATTTACCTACAATATAGAAAGCCTCCAAAAATTAAATGGGTGCATTTGAAGCTTTACTACTTTTTTTTTACAAAATCAGACCAGGTAAAATCAGCATGAAGGGGTGCAACATTTAAGTGGTACCATGCTATTAGTAGACCGATAAATAATTAGTGACAAAAAAATGCAAATAAAATGAATGTTAGTTTTACTTTATCACAGCTGTGTAGGACCAAAAGTCATAAATTTCCTATATGTATTTATGTGTTTTGGTCGAACGAAAAAAGGCTGTCAGTAGTCGGACCCCGACAGCTCGCGATCTTACCCGTCTGATTTCCAGCCAGCGCAGGCGTCGCAGTTTTCGGCTGATTGGTGCGTTTTTTCCCAATCGAATTAACGGCGTCGTCTTTGACAGATGACTTAGGTTGACTAGCCTCGAGTTCCTGACAATTTACTGCCGATTTGACCAGGTCGCTGGGTGACATTGAAGCTGGGGAATTAGGATTTGAGGAATTATTGCTTATAATTTGGGACTTTTTTTGAGGAGTTACTTCGTCTTTTTTAATATTAGCAGGCAAAGGTGGTTCTTCTTTTTTAGTAGGTTCTTCTTTTGATTTTCGTTTACTTGGGTTGTAGTTTGGTTGCGATCTGCTGGCTCTGCTAGGAGTAGGAGCGGTGAAAAAATGAGACAGTCCATCGTAAAGGCCTTTCAATTGGCCCAGGCCTTGAGGCGATTTTTTGTCGTCGAATAAACTGACTTTGTTGGAATTGGAAAATATGTCTTTTGAATCTTTTTTGTTCGCTGCAGCTGCAGCTGCGAAACCCCATGGAGCATCTTTGTCAAGATTTACTCCGGCTATACTGCCAAAAGTTTTCTGTTTTTGTTGTGATTCTGATTGATTGGATTTTTCTTGTGATGAGTTTGATGAAGTAGAGTCTGATTCACTTGAGCTACTAGAAGAGTCACTTGTACTACTGCCACTAGTAGTAGATTCATCGCTAGAGTCACTACTAGAGTCTTCTGAAGAGGCAGATTCTTTTTGTTTCTTGTTTGTTTCCGTTTTGTTTCTTAAAGTTTTATGCCTTTCTTCAGCTTGAGCAGCTGCAATTCTTGAACTTTTTTTAACCGAAACAACTTCTGTGCTTTTCAAATTGCGATTTGCGGGTTTTTTACGCTCTTCTTTGGTAGTTTTAGCTTCTGATTTTTTAATTTTCTCTTCATTATTATTATTGTTTCTTGTAATTCTGCGTTTGTCATTGTCGTCAATTTTTTGTAAATTATTTTTCTCGCTTTGCCTAGTATTTTTCTTTTCCGAATTGAAGGCGGAATGTTTGAAGAATTTTTGCTTTTCTTTGGACATTGGTAAGGAGTTTGTGGAAGATTTGACACTTTGGGATCGGTTATTGGGAGTTTGCGTACCCTGTGAGTCAGTATCCTCGTCCTCCTCGCCAGAAGAAGCGGCAATTGCTGGGACTGTTGCTTTTGCTCGTCTCGAGGGAGTTTTAGATGGAGTGGGAGGCACGTCAGCTGAAGCTGAGACTATTTCTTTGGACCTAAGAAATAATTGAACAATAAGTAGAATTTTATTAATCATAATTTAAACTTACTTTTGCGTATTCTTTTCTTTGACTTTATCCAGCTTTTTCTTTACTGCACCTCCGGGTTCCTTTTTGGGAGTCTTTCCTATGCCCTCATGGTGAGAGAGGCAGTGTTTACACCGCCATGGGCATTTTGGTTTCTTGTCTAAAGGAGGATCCAAACAACCTATATGGTACTTCTTGTCACAATTGCAGCAGCACAACAGACAAGTAGACACTCCACTATTGCCTATAAAAATTGGTTTGGTTTACAAATTATTGAAAATTCATAATTCTAAAACAAAAAGCAGTGGCGGCGCTTGGATGCATTAAGCCCCTAAGCAAATATTACAATTAGACCCCTTTATCCTTGTAATGAAAAAACATAATAGTACGAAATTTTGATTATAATTATTGAAAAATTCTCTTGCGAATCTAGAATTGATAGAAGTTCAAATTTTGACTATTACCGGCTCTTGATTGGCTCCAGGAAAGTTTTCCGGAGAATCAAGAGACGGTAATAGTTCAAATTTTGATTATCTATGACTCCTTTATCCATCGAATAATTTTTTTGATGCAACTAAATACCGAATGTCTGTCTGTCTGATAGACAAAATAGAGAGATCATACAGTCTATGCTGGAATTTTTCAAGTAATTTTTCAATATTTTTTATTTACCTACTACATGACCTTTCAGCGGTTATTATGCATATAGCCGCCACTGACAAAATATCCAAATTCTTACCACAACCATCGCAAACTTTACATTCCTCGCAAAACCATTTGCCGCCTTTAGAAAGGAAAGCCTGCATTTCTGAAGCTCCACTGGTGCAGCTGATGTGCACCGAAGATGAGCACTCGGAACAGGCACTGAATTTTTTGTTTTTGGCCTCCGTGCCCAAACACTCCAAGCATATTGGCAAAGCCTTGGGGGCCTGCAAACATAAAATGTATTAACCAACAAAACTGAATATGTAGTTGAATTTATTACCTTTAATTCTGTTTCTTCAGCTGAAGCAGTCGTCTTTTTCAAACTAGTATTCCGTTTGCTTGGGGGACTTTGCAAACTATAATTATATTTGTAATTTTTCCCATTGGGTATTACAAAAAGCCTTGCTGCAGCCCTTTTAGCTCCCAACCGTATCAGCGTTTGTAAATCGGCATCAGGATTGTCAATAATAGTATGCGATTGCTGAATGTATTTTTCAATTGCCTTCAAAGTAGAGCCGTCGCGCTCTCCAAGTTCCCTTACAGCTTTTGTAACAACCTTGCTCAAATCCATGCCTTTTTGTAGTTTCAAGGTGCGGTGCTGCTGTAGCCCCCCGGGGTCTTTATAAGAGCTCTGACCTTTATTGAAGACTTTAAGGACGATTCCATCTTTTACTATTTTTTCCAGTTGTTCGGCGATGACGTCTTCGTGGTAATTGTGATGCAATCTTATGGCGTGACAGATTCTTTCGATGCTGGGACGTTGTTTTTGGGTGCGGATTTTACGGATCGCGTCCAAGATCCACGAAGACCAGACTTCTTGGCTCACTTCTTCTGGTTCGTTCATTTTTTCAGTTGGTTGCTACGAGATAAAGGTTTGTGATGATGTGAATTTGATGTTTTTGAGAGTGAAAATTGCGTTTTTTTGGCAATTTTCAAGTTTCATAGAGAAAAGTATGTGAGAAGTATTTTTCTTAAAAATATTCTGCGTTCTATTTATTTATTTTTTTGGTTCGATTTCGGTTTTTTCCCGGCTCTTGGGCCAAACTGGTGAAACTCCATTGGAATATTTGATCAGAGGGATTTGTAGATAATTCAATTGGCTTTAATTCAAGCTCAATTACGTTAAGATCGGATTGAAATTAACAAAGTTGTGAGGCAAAAATGTGTGTCAATGTCATTTTAGAAAAACTCAATTTCTTAAAAAACGATATTGATAATTTCCAGATTCAGATTATGAGCAGGAAATTGGAAGAAAAATTGACTTGAAAGTCTCAGAAGATCCACACTTTTTAGTTCTGAGAAAGAATCTTGTTGAAATTGACTTGAAAAAGACTTCGAAAATTACATTTTCTAGCTCTAATTTATGGGTGAATTTCTGCGGGACGAGCGCAGCGAGTTCCGCAGCCATCTATTCATCTATATGTTATGTAATTACCTCGTAATTATGATACTAATTTGACTAACTCAAATTTGAGTTATTCTCATTAGTTTAAAAAGTACACGTTGCAGGTGAGTGTCTTGAACAGTTTAACAACATATTGGTGAGTAGATGGCTGCGGAACTCGCTGCGCTCGTCCCGCAGAGGTCCACCCATAAGTTCTGCAATAATCCACTTATTTGTACTTGAACAATAACTTATTATATAAAATGAAAATTTGTAAGATTATCCACTTTTTGTCAATTTGCCGTTCAACAGAAATTAGTAATGTTACTTTACTAAACTAGTAACATAATGTGACAAGTTATTCAAGTACAAATAAGTGAATTGTTGCGGAACTTATGGGTGGACCTCTGCGGGACGAGCGCAGCGAGTTCCGCAGCCATCTATTCATCAATATGTTGTTGAATTATGATGCTAACCTGACTCATTTAATATGTCAGTTATTCTCATTAGTTTCCGGTAAGTGTCTTATTTGAACAGTTCAACAGTGTATCGGTGAATAGATGGCTGCGGAACTCGTTGCGCTCGTCCCGCAGAGGTCCACCCATAAGTTCCGCAACAATCCTCTTATTTGTACTTGAACAATAACTTATTATATGAAGTCAAAATTTGTAAGATTATCCACTCTTTGTTCATTTGCCTTTTAATAGGATTTAGTAATGTTACTTTACTAAATTAGTAACATAATGTGACAAATTATTTAAGTACAAACGAGTGGATTGTTGCGGAATTTATGGGTGGACCTCTGCGGGACGAGCGCAGCGAGTTCCGCAGCCATCTACTCACCAATATGTTGTATAATTCCGACACTAACCTGACTCACTCAAATATGAGTTATTCTTATTAGTTTAAAAACTACACATTTAAAGTGAATGTCTTACTTGAACAGTTCAACAGTATATTGGTGAGTAGATGGCTCATCAAAGTCAGATGACTTTACAGTAACTTTGCAACTACAAAACTTAAAGCCGCATAGGATTTATCAATAAGAAATTCATAGAGGATTCAATTGGCTTTAATTCAAGCTCAATTACGTTAAGATCGGATTGAAATTAACAAAGTTGTGAGGCAAAAATGTGTGTAAATGTCATTTTAGAAAAACTCAATTTCTTAAAAAACAACATTGATAATTTCCAGATTCAGATTATGAACAGGAAATTGGAAGAAAAATTGACTTGAAAGTCTCAGAATATTCACAATTTTTAGTTCTGAGAAAGAATCTTGTTAAAATTGACCTGGAAATATTCTGAAATTTACATTTTTCTAGTTTCTTTTCGGTTAACCGGTTAAAACCAGTTGTTTTTTGCTTCCAGTTATAACCGGATAACCGGGTTTCATACCTAATAACTGGTGAAAATGAAACATGTAGACTTTTCTCTTGTCTTATTAAATAAATTGTAAAATATTGAATAAGCGACAACAGTCGAATATCTATTTTCACAGTCTTTAACCAATAGTAATGCCTATCTGTAGCATTTCATTTCAGTTTTGGTTGATTCGTTCAGCAGCGGGTTGTTTTCTCAATGGGTACATGACAGAAGAGAAGATGTCTATCAACTTAGCGAGACAACTTCGGAAAATCGATTTTCCGTTATGCCAAGAATTTGCCGCTTTTTTGCCGCTAATTAAATGTGGAATTAAAAATTTTGCCGCTCTTTTGGTTTTTTCTTAATTACGTGTTTTGCTAACTTGACGTCAAGATAGCGAGACAACATCATCAAATATGTCAGCAGTAAAAAAATTAGGTAGATGAAAATTTGCCGTTTTTTTTGCCGCTAATTAGTTGTGTAAACCAAAAATTTGCCGGTTTTTTTTTTCCATAATTAATCAAGTTTGAAAAAAAAATATTTGTTTCGCTAACTTGACGTCAAGTTAGCGAGACAATATCACTAAAAATGTCGGTAGTGATGAGTTGAGTGAATGGAAATTTGCCGTTTTTTTGCCGCTAATTAGATGTGAAAACTAAAAATATGCCGCTACCTTTCTTTTCATAAGAAAATCGTGTTCGAAAATAAAATATTGTTTTGCTAATTTAACGTAAAGTTAGCGAGATCACTAAAAATGTCGGTAGTGATAAATTGAGTAAGTGCAAAATATCGGGTTTGAAAAAAAATATCATTGTTCAATTGACATCAAGTGAGCAAATCAGTATCATTAAAAATGTCGGTAGAGAAAAATTGAGTGGTAGAGAAAAGCTGTGGAAATTTGCCGCTTTTTGCCGCTAATTAAATGTGAAAACCCAAAAATTTGCCGCTCTTTTTCTCCATGAAAAAAATCGTGTTTGAGAAAAACTTGTGTTTCGCAAGCTTGCCGTTAAGTTAGACCGACATCAACACAAAAAACGAAGGGCAGTATAAAATTAGGTGAGTAAAAGTAAATGATCTCCCACCCTTGATTTTTATGCAGCCTGTAAGTATATTTTAATTAGTGAAACTCAACATTTGTTGGAGCAAATATTTATTTCTAAATTTTTTGAGAATAGTTTTACATTTTTTTTTTCTTTAGCTTAGGAAAACTCTATTGAAGCCTTATAGGTTTCAAAAATCAGAAAGCGAAATATCGTGTGCTCATTTATACACAAAATAAAATAAAATTAGAAATAAAATCAAATTGTGATAAAATGGAAATTATCGATAATTTTTGGCAAATTTTCCCCAATGCATTTTTAGTTGAAAAAAAGCACGAGGGACGAGTGCCTTTTCAAGTTAAAAATGCATGAGAGCAAATTTCTCAAAAATTATAGATATATTTCCATTGCTCCAGTTGTATTTTATGAGAGAATTTCATGAATCAAAAATTTAAATTTTTAGTATATCCTCGTAAGTATAAAATGTCAGCAATCAGAAAAAATGTCAAATGCCACCCGTTAGTAAGCAATTATCCAATCCGATAATCCTGCACTAGTACAAATTATCACGTAAATAATCGTAATCTGATTGGTTGAAATCAACAATTAAAAAATGCCAGTTTATGCATGGGATCTGTGTCATTTGCGCGACAACCGTTTACGCGATACGAAAAGCGCGAGGGACAAAATCACGACGGAACAAAAACGCGACAGGACAAGTGCGCGATGGACAAAAACGCGACTGGATAGAAGCGCGAGAAACAAAAGCGCGAGGGACAAAAGCGCACGGCTGCGCAAAAACGCGACTGGATAAAAGCGCTAGAAGCAAAAGCGCGAGGGGACAAAAGCGCGACAGAACAAAATCGCGACTGGATAAAGCCCGATTGGCCAAGAACGCGAAGTGCCTTACTACGAGAACTGGAGATCGTTTTCCAAAATACAAGATATTTTTGGTGGCTCCGGTTCAAAAGAACGATATTTAAAATAGCAACATCAAAAAGGCGACATATTGTTAAAGCGATATATCAAAATAGCGACATTTGGAACAGCGATATTCAAAATGGCGACATCTAAAAAAACAGCAACATATCAAAAGAGCGACATATGTAAACAACGAGATTTAGAACAGTGACAAATTAAAAGAGCGACATTTACAACGACGACCTCTAAGCAAAAGAGGGAAACATCAAATTCTTCCAATATTAATCAAAATTATGTAGACTTACTCAAACTAACCCGTCCGTCTAGGGCAATCTCGTCCTCGTGAGTTAGCATTTTATTTAAAAAGCACTGCGCTCTCAAGAGACCCTGAGCAATCAATCAGTGAATTAACTTTGTTTTTTTAAATAAAATGCTTACGAGGACTAGATCGTACTAGGTGGACGGGTTATTTTGGGTTAGTTTGAGTAAGTCTGTATTGCGAAATCAATTTGAACCAATAATAATAAAGCAAATACAGACTTGCTCAAACTAACCCAAAATAACCCGTCCGCCTAGTGCGATCTAGTACTCATAAGTTATAGTCCAGGAGGTGGCGCCAAAAACATGCAAGAGTTTTCGCAAGGCGGATATTTTCAAAATAGGTCGTACTTTAGTGCTAGAATGCTAGTGTACAGTCAGCACTCACAGTTCCGGGACAGCTGGCTCTGGGACGCGGGCAAAGTTGTAATTTTAAGAAGCATCTAAACTGTTTTCTCAAAGCTCAAAATTTATAGAAATTTTGCACATTATCTGCTTGAAGGTCACAGATAACGTATGTAAATCGTCAGACGTCTAGTTCGTTGCAAAAAGGGGGTCAGACGTCCTCAAAGTTTTTATTTTATGGCATTTTCTTCAAATATATTTGTCAAATACCTGCAAAAATATATTTTGACAGGACACCGAAGAAAATGCCATAAAATAAAAACTTTGAGGACGCCTGACCCCCTTTTTTGCAACGAACTAGACGTCCGACGGTTTACATACGTTATCTGTGACCTTCAAACAGATAATGTGCAAAATTTCTATAAATTTTGAGCTTTGAGAAAACAGTTTAGATGCTTCTTAAAATTACAACTTTGCCCGCGTCCCA